TAACGTCAGAACTGGGGTCTGGGAGCACGGGGGAATTGTCCTGGCACCAGGTATAGAGGTCTTGGCTGGCATTGAGGATGAAGCGTTGACACTGGAATCTTGAACCTTGGATAGCTTCCAATTTGAGGAGTGCTTTTACACTGACCAGAGACAGGCACAATAGGAGCCCCAGGCAATCTTTGGTGCCATGGATGTCTCAACAAAAAGAATAACCCCAAAGACCTTCTCTTTCCCCACTATCAGGATGCAGAGCCTTCTCAGATCCCACCTTAACAGGTGGCGTCAAAATCAACTTATGCAACTCCGAAGTAGTGTGTTTTGGAGCCAGTAGAGACTGGCCCAGGCCTGGCACAAGCCCTAGCCTGGAACTTTAACTGATGATCCCTGTTGGGTTAGGAAGTAAAGGCAGCCAAGCAGACATCAGCTCTGACCACAGGGGCAGAATGGTCTACCTCTGCCAGGCAGAACACAAACCAGGAAACAGCTCTGAACTATTTATAGCTAGGAAATTATCTAAGAAACCTAAAATACCAAGCTATGTACAAGAGAAAAAGTGTCTTAGTTGTCTGGCTTGGTGAGACATGGGCACAGTTCTGAGGTTCCTTATATCCTCAGTCCTAAGCAGCCAGAAGGAAGTGAGGTGGTTGGGGCTCCCACCTCCTTTAAATAGCCCTGAGCTTTGATCATTCAGTGCCATAAGGTAAGTACACAGCTTTCTAGAAGGGTGCAAAACATTGACACAGGCTCTTGAGACCCCATTAGTGGGAACATGAGGAAGTGCTAGATACGTTGTCATAGGAAACTTTCACATGCTTAGCTCCATTATGGTTGGGCTTTAAGAAATTCTTTTGACCTTGGAAATTGAAAAACTGGCCAAGGGAATGAGTCCCCTGAGAAAATGTTGGGGTTTACTGGTTTACTTCAAGAGCAGGCTGTTCGGATTGGCTCAGGTCCACTTGTGTTTCACTCCCACACCAAAGAAAGTTTTGAAACTGGAGTTTTATTAAATTTAGAAATAAATAAAACAAACCAATCAAAAAGTCACCCCTGGTTGCACAAGCCCCATTGCTGCTCAGTCCTTTCAGAACACAATTCTGCTGCTGCAACCAGAGCTTTTCCCTTTGCCCCTTTCAGCAGAACTTCAATCCTTAAAGGGACAAGACACAGGTAAACTCACAGATTCCAAGGCCAGAAGGGGAAAAACTGTGATCATCTAGTCTGGCATCCAGTATAACACAGGCCACAGAACTTCCCCAAAATAATTCCTAGACCAAATTCTTAGAAAAACATCTAATCTTCATTTAAAAATTGTCAGTGATAGAGAATCCGCCATGGCCCAATGGTAAAAACCAATGGTTAATTGCACTCACTGTCAAGAATTTACACCTTACTTCCAGCCTGAATTTGTCTATCTTCAACTTCCAGACATTGGATTATGCTATGCCTATGCTACACTGTATTTGTTCCCCAGACTGATACTTATAGACTGTAATTAAATCACCCCTTGACTTTCTCTTTGTTAAGCTAAAAGAATGAGCTCCTTGAATCTCTCTCTATAAGACATGTTTTCTAATCCTTTAATCATTCTTGAGGCTCTTCTCTGAACCCTCTCCAATTTAACAACACCCTTGAATTGTGAGCAGCAGAACTGGATGCTGCATTCTAGCAGCGATTTCGCCAGTGCAAAATATAGAGGTAAAATAACCTCTCCTCCTACTCAAGATTCCCGTGTTTATTAATCCTACAATCTTATTAGCTCTTTCGGCCACAATGCCTATCCCTGACATTCTAATATGAGTGCTATAGTCCCCCCTCGTAAAATGTAATATAATTCCAACACTTCCATTAAAAAAATAAAACATATAGTCCAGGGGTTCTCAAACTGGGGGCTGGGACCCCTCAGGGGGTCGCGAGGTTATTACATGGGGGGTTGTGAGCTGTTAACACCATTATAAAAGCTGGATGCAAAGCGAGGTTTGGGGTGGAGGTTAACTATATAAAAAAGTGTTTTTAATTTATGGGGGGGGGTCGCACTCAGAGGCTTGCTATTTGAAGGGGGTCACCAATACAAAAGTTTGAGAATCACGGAGTCCATCCATTTGACTTATTAGCAGTAATCCACGCATTCTACAAGCTCATAACTGTTATTCCCTATTGACAGTTTGGGCCTCTCCTGTGTCACAAGTTCTGGTACTAATGGTGAAAGGTTCTGCATTGCTCTTCAGTTTATTTCACAAAGCAGAAAGTTTCTGCTGCAATTTTTGTTCCACTATACAACTAAATAATCAGTTTTGAACATCCTAAATCCCCAAAGATTTTCATACCTTATGAATAAGGATACAATTTTGTCACTGAGGTCACGGATTCTGTGACTTTAACAGACCTGTGTGACTTCTCTGGCTTCAGCCCTGGCCAGAGCTGTGGGGCTGGAGCAGTGGCCTGGGCTGGGGCTGGAGCAATGACTGGGGACTGGGCTGGAGCAGCCCTCTGGGGGCTGGAGCAGCAGTGGTCAGTCCCCGCCACCGGAGCAGCAATGGGCCTGGAGTAGCGGTTAGTCCCCACTTCACTGCCCCTGTTATTTTTAATAAAAGTCAGGGACAGGTTGCAGGCCTCCATGAATTTTTGTTTGCTGCCTGTGACCTGTCTGACTTTTACTAAAAAATACCCATGACAAAATCTTAACCCTATTTACTCTCTAATATTTAACCATATAGCTCCAAGTGACAGTGCATATGTCAAGCTATTCAGAAAACATATTAAATTAACATAATTACAAACTATCCAGTACTATAAAACACTTGATATAGAGCAATATCCATACCATAGGTCAATATCACTTCTTTTATCAATATTACATCAGTCTTGTATAGAAAACAGGATAAGGTACAGGAATAGGCACTTGTTATGACATGTGACAAACTGAGGACAATCCCTGGTGTATTCACCAGTCCAACAAATATTGATAAGTAGATGTCCCTAAATGTTCATATGTCAGCGTCTGAGAGCCTCTTATCTCTCTAGTTAGATGACCTTGAATGTCAGTGGATTGTTCTGGTGATCTGCCCTCTTGTGTACTACTGGTTTCAGGTTTCTTGGCATAATCTGGCATTCATGTATTTCAGTGCTTGGTGTAAATGTTACATTAGTTTGATCAGCAGTTTTCAAATTTACAGGATCATCATCATCCTTATTTTCCAATCACAGATTAAATGTTTCTGCTTCTGGATTCAGAGTCTCTGTGCCATGGGGACTATCTGATACAATTACGTAATGTCGTTCATCTTCACTCTCAGTATCAGAATCACTGGAGTCCAAGTTCCAGTCCCCATTTTGATCTCTTATTCCACTAGTTTGCCTAGTTCTCTGTGTTGTCTATTGTGGTGGTTTAGAGGGTAGTGTAATCTCCAACGGTAAGAAGTCAGAGGGAAGAAAAACATTGTGGAGAAGAACTCTACCACGTCCTTCTCCATCTTCTGCTTTTACTTCATAGACTGGACTATCCCCTTTCTTTTGAAATACTACATTAATATTATTTTCCCAACAGGATCTTAATTTGCCTGGTCCCCATCTCTCTGAAAGATTCAGGACAAGTATTCTGTCACCTGGCAAGCGGGCAGCACGGTGTATTTTCTGGTCATACTGATTATTAACATGAGCAGCAGATTTTTTTTTTAGAACATTTTGATGCCATTTTATAGGCTTCTGAAATGTTGTCTCCAATTCTCAATGTAGTTTTTAAAGTCCCCAGGTCAGAGTTTATAGACAGATCAAATGTGAGGTCAATTGGCAAATATGGTCATCTTCCATGTAACAAATACAAGGGTGCAGCCTCATTTCATGTACAGTTATAGGCATACAGTCCTGTGGCACCTTATAGACTAACAGACGTATAGGAGCATGAGCTTTCGTGGGTGAATACCCACTTCTTCGGATGCATAGATTGCATAGAAGGCATAGACTGCCTTCTTAAATGAGTTCCTTCTATTCGACTTTTGTCTTTCTGACAAGGTTTTCAACCTAGCCAGCAGAGGTCAGTTCAGCCTTTCTACTTCTCCATTGCACTGTGGGAGTGTGGGGTTGCGTGAAACGTTTCACTTTTACAGGAGTGCTGTAACTTTCTGAATACATTATTTTCCACCTCTGCTCCTTGGTCATGCTGGATGGGATGGGCAATGTTATGGGAGAGGGCAACAGCAAAAAAGGAAGGTTGGGAAAGGAAGGAATAGCGAAGAGGATGAACAATATGAAACACTACAGATGACATTCCAAAAAATGCGGAGCTGCTAATTAACAGTTGGAACTCTACAGCTGTCATTCAGAGATTCCACAGAGACAAAAACTTCTGCCTAAAAAGAGGGATAAGTCTAATGAACATGATCAACCCCTGTTGCAAGAAGACTGCTAGGAGGGGACTTGGATATATGTTTAAGGGTCCAAACCAAACCAAAAGAAAATGCTGCACTCTGAACAGACAACTGTGGTCCTTCTTTCAGCCAGAAGATTAGGTGTTAGCCCATTCCTTGGCAAACTCTAGGTAGGGTCAAGACTTAGTATCAAAACATATGTTATATTAACATGATCTTATGCACCAGATTTAATCAAGAAACTGCATGTACGTACATTTGAGACTCTCCTATCATGCAATTTTACAGCAAACTCATACTACCATTAGGTTAATGTTATTTTCTATTTTAATTAGCATTTCACAAAAAGGATTGGCTACATCCTATATGTTCCAGGAACCAAACATGGCCAGCTAAGAGCCCTTATGCACAATTTGGTTGCCCTTTATCTTTAATCCCAATATGTGGCCTGTAGAGACATACAGGTCCCAGTAGGCAGTGATTCATCTTGCTCACGAACAAGATTTTAATGGATCACTATATTAAAGATGTGCAATCTGCTCCACTTTATAAAATTTAGGTGCAGCCCTTAAGCAGGGTGTGCCCAAATAAATGAACTAGTTTAAAAAAAGGAATTTATCTGGAAGAGTTACTAACCTGTCATATGCAGCTATCATGAAGTTGAGGAGAAGGCTGATGGATTGCTCCACACTGATCTGGTGAATAGAAGGAAGGCGTTTATTTAGCTGGTAGTAGATGGATGAAATTATTGTTTCCAGTCGAGAAACACTGATCTCTGTGCTGTGATCCAATGTATTAAGGCCATTGTCTCGGAAGGCTTCAATCATATTCCAGATATCAACAAGATGAACTAAAAGTAAAGAAAGAAAATTAACTGTTATTTTTTGTAACGTTCAGTTTTACTCTCTTAGACACACCACTTTTGGAGAACATGTTAATTTTTGGTATTTTAAAAAAGCAGAATCCATCCTCTAAACATGCTCTAAAAATTCAGAAAAGGGGGAAGAGGGCATCCTATTAAAATCACCAACGTGGAGAATAAATTATATTCCTCACAATGTGTTTAGTCACAAAAATCTCACAAGAAAACCTTTCAATTGTCAAAATCAGGCTATAGTGAACATTTAGTCTAATCATGTTTTATTAGTTCTTTAAGAGCTGTTAAACTACAGTATATATTCCTGCAAAAAAAATTAAGATTGCAAAGTGAAGCACTTAAAAGTCAGGAAGTGTTTTAATTTAATTTTTTTCTCATTCTAAACCATAACTGTGCTTCGTTGTGTGCATGCTTTATAGCAAAATCTAATTATTGGGACATATTTTAGATCATGCAAGCAACCTTTGCTTTGACATTTCCAAACTTGAATGCTTTTCTTAGAGTTTTTAGGGAAAACAAAGAAACTCCATCATGTGCAGCTATTTCGCAGACACCAACAAGAGTATTCTATGCTGCAAAATATGTGGCATTCCAAGAGGCAAAGGTTCTTATGGACCGTTGCTTCATAGGAGCTTGCACCCTACTCACTGAATACACATTTTTGATCATTGAATGATATGGCTTTGCAGTGTCTTGTCTGTCTCTTTCCACAGTAGCCTTCTAATGAAGTACAGAGCAAGGCAGGGTTCCCTTTATAAACATCACTTCAACCATTCTACTTCCTTGATCTTGTCATTATGACAGGTACCTTCAGCAGTGGTGCCTAATCCATTATTGTTAGTGTCGTATTTGTACTGTTATGATCAAAGAGGAAGGGAGGCTCAGTGGTTAGGACACTAGCCAGGGACTTAGAAGATCTTGGTTCAATTCCTTATTCTGCCACAGAGTTCCTGTGTGACCTTAGGCAAGTCACTTAGTCTCTCCATGCCTCAGTTGCCCATCTGAAAAACAGGAATAACCACACTTCCTATTTCTCAGGGATGTCTCGTGGAAAAATACATTAAAGACTGTAAGGTGCTCATAGTATGGCCAGACAAGTACCTTAAGTAAATTGAAGCTTTGGTGGAACTGAAAGCCTAACACACCAAGCCACTACCCTCGTAGGGCACTTTATCTTTTCCATTTGCCCTGCGGACAGTAATCCCTTTGGGAAAAGGATTATCTTCAGTTTTTCTTCTGCAATGCTGAGCACATTTTTGGTACTAAACAAATAAGTTCCAGGTCAGCTTCTGAATAAAAAGAACAGGAGTACTTGTGGCACCTTAGAGACTAACAAATTTATTAGAGCATAAGCTTTCGTGGACTTAGCTATACAGATGCTCGAAAGTCCACGAAAGCTTATGCTCTAATAAATTTGTTAGTCTCTAAGGTGCCACAAGTACTCCTGTTCTTTTTGCGGATACAGACTAACACGGCTGCTACTCTGAATAAAAAGAGATTCACAGAGTCTTCTACCCATGTATGTACAAGGCTGTTCCTCATTTCAATATTTCCATTTGCACCTTTGGAAGCATAACTAGTATAAATGAAATCTGAACATTCTAAAGAGTTGGGCTTGTGTTGCTGACAAAACAGCAGCAGCAACAGCACATGTAGTGTATTAGGAACTCCTATAATAAACCAGTTTCCCCCACTCTTACCCCTGGACCCGCACATAGCCCTATCTCCCTACGTCTGGGGTGGCCATGTAAGGCAGGAGAGTACCTACCAGTTTGCACTCCCCTTGACCACTCATAGGACCAAGCAGCCCATCTCCCTCTGGAATAACAGCCTTCTGCTGCTGCCAGCTAATATAATTATCCCTGTAGCACAAGTAACACAAAAAAGCATCCCAACCAACTCAGGGCATTTCTATATTGGATATTCTGACAGATAAAAATAAAATGATCACTGAACTAGAAGTTGATGGTTGCACATGAGCACAATCAAATTTCATTTTTTGGGCACACAGACACAATATAGTCCTGGAACAGTAACTAAAGCCTTGTGTACATGGGGGATTTAGTTCAAATTGAGTTGACACATATTGGTAGACCATACTAGTAGTATGCACATGGGACTTCTGTGCCTTCCTTCAATTTGCGTTATTGTGTTCTGATGCCAGGGGCTTGGTGTGTCCTAAATACTTGGCATTCTGGGAGGGTATCCCATGGTCCTTTGCTTCGCTGTTGTGCTGTGTGCATTAGAGGTTTTTTGCTGCACACTATGGGATGTGCAGGGGAAGCCAGTGGAATTCTGGGAATTAAGGTCAAAATAAAAAGTTCCATGATTCCAGTCTCTCTGTCCCATGTTTCCTCTTTCTGGGTGGGCTAGCACCATTTTTGAATTCCTGTTGGCCAGCGTGGACCCAACAATGATCTGCGCCACTGTGCTAGCAGCCACGAGTGTGCAGAAGCTATTGGGGCTTCTTGAGTTCCTGAAGCCAGGTGGCTTCAGTTTTGGACTTTGCACACTGTACCACCAAGCAGATAATGTGACAGCAGCAGCAGCTTCTCTAGTAGCAGAGGAAGGAGGAGGAGGAGAACCCCAAGCAACTGCTACTACAGGAACTGTTCCTGGAGCCGCTTCACATTATGCATTGCCGTTTCTGAGCTCAAGAAACCAGCATTGATTAGTGGGAAAGGATCATTCCGCAAAACTGGGATGATCAGCAGTGGCAAAAGAATTTCAAAATGGTGAAGGCAAACTTTTTTGAGATCTGTACTGCACTAGCCCTGCAGTACTGTCAGGGATGCTTACTGCTTTTACTTTTAGTCTCAGGCCTGAAAATGTGCAGCTGTTATCCAGGTGAGAGTGGGGAATGAATTATGAACACTGCAGCACCTTCTATGTGTGGCCTTGAATACAGATGCCCCCCGGGTTACGCAAACCCGACTTACGCAAATCCGCACTTACAGAAAAAGTTCGGTAAGCCAGAAATAGGAGGGTTTTGGGATTTTTGGCGTAATGGTCCGGTATACGTTTCTGACTTACACAAAATGCGAGTTACACAAGGCGTTCCAGAACGGAACACTTCGTAAGTCAGGGAGCGTCTGTATAGCTAATAAGAACGCTGTGGCATGGCGTGGCGTGGCTTAACTGGATTGCATACACCAAATAAGAAGTAACTGGGCGGCATTTCTTATTTCATCTTGCATCTGTGTCTTTATATTTTTTATAAAAACCCATGGCTTATGGAAAAGTAACAATTTTTCTGTGTACCATGCATTACCAAATAACTTTGAATGAATTTTTAATATTTTTTTATTATTAAATAATGTATTGTGTAACAAGCAGAAATGAACCTTTAATTAAAACAATGAAATACTTCTTTAAAGTGACACTGTGCAATGGAGGGGAAAACACAAGAATGGGTACGCTCCAATTCACAGGCAAGCATACGTCTTGCCTCTGCCTCTTCTTCTTCTGCTTTTTCGGGGTCGCATGCCGGGGCCCTAAGTATCAGGGTCGTTACATGTCTAAAAGAACTGGGTTCTCAGGTAAAACTGTCCTCACTGCCTCGAGTTTCAGCTGGAGTGGGGAATGGTATCTGGTAGAATGGCTGTTTAGGGGCTGTGGGGAACATATGCCTGTGTTCCCTGTACTGTCCAGGGATTGCAGAACATGGCTGGGTCCTGGTTGAGGACACTGGATTGTCTGTGTGCCTGCTACCAGCATGCACTGCAGCTGAGCATTCTGATTCTGGATTGCCTCCAAGAGTTGCTGCTGCATGTATGTCCTTCTCTACTGTGTCTTTTGCCATGGCAACGCGGTCTCTGGCCACTGCAGAACGTTCTCGGATATCTCCCTGTCTTTTCCTCTCAGACCTCCAGCTTGCTGCTGTGTTCAATTTGGGGGTTCTGCAGTGAGGTCTGGAAACATTTCCTCCACAGTTTTCTGTTTCTTCCCTTTAAGTTAGCCAGCCATTCAGCTATTCAGAAAGGTCCCATCCTTGCAGGTCTGGCCACTGCAGGTGCCATCGCTGGGGGAGTAGGGGGAAAAAACAACAAGCAGTTATATTCATAGCCCAAGGCTATCATAAATATTTTTAAACAGCTATTTTTTATTTCCCTTTCCTGAGATTCTTCCCATTCTTGGGGGGGTGCTCAGAGATTATAAATGGTATGTGCATGAAGAGGGCTAGATTGGGATTTTTGGATGTGCAATATATGCTATCTGGGTTTACAGTTGTGCCTTGGAGGATGTGGGGGGTTGGGAATTATGTTCTTGGTTTGCTTCACTGTTTAGGCTGTGCCTTCGGGGTGCTTATGTAGTATCATAGGGCATCTGGGAGAAAGCTGAATAGTAATCCCCTATACCTCCCCTTTAGGCTGTTCTGACTCTCATTGATGTTACTCTGAGGTGGGTGAGTAGGAGGTGGAGAATGGCCTTATTCAAAAGGGCAAAGGGCAGACCAGCAAATTACGCTGTGAAGCGTAATGCTACACAATTGGAAGGGAACAGCGAGCCATAGCAGGGACAAAGACTGTGCAATTATCCCCCATAATCTCCAGAGAAAAAAAAACAACAAGCCATTTCTCAGTCTTAGATTCTGCTTTACCTCCCCTGTAGATATGGGGAAAAGACAGGTCAAAGAATATTTACATAAGTTAGATGTATTCAAGTCAGCAGAGCCTGATGAAATTCACCCTAAGGTACTTAAAGAGGTGCTGAAGCAAGCTCAGAACCATTAGCAATTATCTTTGAGAACTCATGAAGGATGGGTGAGGTCCCAGAGGACTGCAAAAGGGAAAACATAGTACCTAACTTTAAAAAGGGGAACAAGGAGGATCCAGGGAATTATAGACCAGTCAGCCTAACTTCAATACCTGGAAAGATACTAGAAGAAATTATTAAATAATCAATGTGTAAGCACATAGAGATTAATAGGGTGATAAGTAGTAGCCAACATGCAGAGAAAAATACACCAGGTT